AGTTTTTAAGATTAAAAATGCATTTAAAAGAAAAATAAAAGTTCCCATCCTCTCAATGTCTTCTGATCTCGTACCTTCATTTATTAATTTTATAATTAAATTTTGAATTGAATTCTTCAAATGAAAATAAATATTTGAGAATAAAACGATAAGAAAAACCAATCAATAATGAATAGAATAAATGCGATAAAAAATTTGTTTTTCATAAATTTGAAAAGGATAAAAAGATGTTTTGATTTATATAAAATTTCTGAATTTTTTTTTTTTTTTAGTTGCTGTCAAGGACCTTCTGACAAAAAATTGATTTGGAATATAAAGAATAAAAATAATTTGCCATTGGAATTATCGAAAACAGAAACGAAACGTGAAAAAAAAAGAAAAAGAATAAGTGACAGTGGAAAGTCCATGAGCTTGGCAGCCGAAGAATGTGAAGAAATGGAGTTCAAAATTGGACAAAAGAGGTCGAGAAAAGAGCAGTACACGGAAGCGTTATTAAAGAAAAATAAAAGGGAAGAAAGCTGATAATCGATAGCTGACAGACCTCGATAATACGCGACCAGTTGAACAATAGGCACACTCTCCTGCTCAATATTATTTCATTTATATTAAAAGCACAAAAACAATTTCACAGTGCTTCCATTTATTTAATTTAATAAATTTTCCATTATTCGAATTATAATCGGTATGAAAAAATTATTTTCTCCTTATGAATCCTTATAAATTTTGGAATATTGGTTTATAGAAATTATTTTTGGAGCTCTGCATTTTTAAATACTTTCTTTTTTTTATGTAATATAAAAAAATTAATTTTTGTTAAAATTCGATAGAAAGATTTAGCTAAATAAATTTTACATTCAAAATTTTAGAGATAAGTTAATAATTAGATTAAGTTTTAAAAATTAATTAGTTAGAATTTTCATTTGATAAAATTTCAGTAAAATAGAATTTTCAATTAACGGAATTTCTATTTAACACAATTTTTATTTAAAATTTAAAATTTCAGTGAAGTCAAACTTGTTAAATGTAAGCGGTAAAAATATCTTCTGCATCTTTAATTACTTCATTTTTTTTAGCTTCATTCCTTTTCAATATCTCAATATAATAATTGTCATCTTCATTATCTCAGCTATGAATAAGATCGATTTTTAATTTATTTATAAAAAATTCTTGAACACTTAAATTTAAGGTCATGTGATTGTTGTTATTTTACATGTAAAATTCTCAGCAGGTTTTCTCGCAAATTACTTGGCAAATTGAAATAAAATTTTGTGGAAAACTGAAAAATAGTATTATGATTCGTTATTATATGTCAGAGTATATTAATGTTTTGTCAAAAAATTTATTCTTAGAAAATTGAATATTAAGATTGTTGAAATATTGTATATTGGCGCCTAATATCTCGCTTGACTCTAGCAGTAGTTGCTCGTACGTCACTACCGTGTGCGCACGCACTCCCTCTTCCCTTCTTGATTTTGCTTCGACCATGAACGTCTCGATCGTCTTTGTGCTCTGAATAAACGACTGTTTTTCATTCGTATTTGTGTATTATTATTGACTACATCGTGCTCTAAATAATCTACATGCCAACAAAGATAAATGACTAAAATCGTATTGACGCCATATTGAATTTTCCATAAATTTGAAATAATATATAAAAATAAATTTTTTGACGAAATATTAATACTCTGGCATATGACAGCGATTTCTTATACTATTTTTGAGTTCTTCACAAAATTTTAGCTCAATCTATCAAGTATTTTGTGAGAAAATCTGCGAAGAATAATATTTACATGTGTAAACACAAGAATCACATACCTATAACCTTAAAATATGATCGAATGTGTTGATTTGCTAGTCTAAAGTGATATCTTGACGTGCAAAAAATTGCAACGCCATTTTATTTTTTCAAAAAAATAATTTTTGTGCCAATTTGTGTTCAAAAATTTTGTTAATAAAATAATAATTAGGACTCGAAATTTGAACAAAAAAGAAATTCTTACAATAATTTTCAAAATCTTTAATAACTATTAATTATAATTATATTATTATCATTAATATTATAATAAATAATAATAATTAAATAATAAATTACACAAAATAATTAAAATTTAAATTCGAAAAACGATTCTCTAACCAAGAAACATTAAAAATTATTATTTTTCAAAAAACAATTTTTGTGCTTTATTGTGCAAATCCAGCGTAAAAACAAAAATTCTAAATTAAAAAATTTCAAAATAGTTTAAATTGAAAAAAATATTTTACATCCAGAAATATTTAATAATTATTATTTTAAAAAAAAAAAAAATGTTATACTGCAAGCTTACGTGATATCTGGGTCTTATATTTCTTTTTTGTGATGGACTAGCACAATTCAGCAAAAAAATTTGTTTTTGAAAAATAAGAATTTTTGAATGTTTATGGGTTAAAAAATGGTTTTTTGAATTTAAAGTCGAATTATTTTGAATAACTTATTATTAAAGATTTTAAAAATTATTATGAGAGTTTCTTTTTGTTTTGGTTTTGTACAATATTGTTTCTTTTGAATTACATATAAGAAATTTTTTAGATTAAAAATATTTTTTTTTTTTAAATTAAATAGAATGAAAAGTTTGTTTTTTCGGCCAGTATATTTTTCATTTAATAAGAGACGAAAAAAAAAAATGTTTTGAGATCTCCTGATTCCAAAAATAAAAATAGTTTTTAGAAAAAATGTTTGTAAAACAATTTTCCTCCACGATAACTTGAATACAACTCTTAATAAACCAATTCGAAACTTAGTAAAAAAAATATATAAACTTTTTTTATGTAATAGAATTGTTCTTAATCAAAAAATAATGATTTTGAAACTGATTTTTTTTTTATTTTGTTGACGTACAAAAGTTTTTGCAATATTTTTTTTCTTTTTCCACTAGAGAATTTTTCGTTAAATTTCTACAGTTTTCTACAGTTTTTTTTTTTTTTTTTTTTTTTAATTCTAACAGAGAAAAGAATTTTCTGAAACTCTCACTATATACGCAGTTAATTAACATTGTTTTTTATTCTTATAAAATTTGTCAAACAGGAAACGAGGATTCTAGCTTTCTGAATTGATATCATTCTATATAGAATAAATGCGTCAATAATATTATATAACAATAGCCACATTTACGTTTTTTTTTTTTTTGTTTTTTAATGATCGATTACTTGTACGACTTACAATGATTCATAAAATGCAGTTTTCAATTAGGGAAATTATTATATTTAAAAATCTCCCCTCTACTTTTTTTTCTCTCAATGATAATACAATTTATTTTACTATTTAAAATTTTAAATCATAATAGAAAATAAAATATTTAATACTAAATGAGCAGTTAAAATATATATAAAAATTCTAATCTTATTTTCATTTTTCTACATTAATATTATGTGAAAATTTATTAAATATAAAATTTGTTCTTTTTATAAAAGAATCAAATTCATAAAATCAAGAAAATGAGCTGCCGATTTTAAAAATTGGAAACAATTAAAATTTCAAGATTTTTTAAAAAGAAAATTTCCATTCATTTGAATGTAATATTATTGATTTAAAAACAAAAAAAAGCATTCATCTTTTTTTTTGTGTCAAATAATTTGTCCTTTTTTTTAAATCTTATTTTTATTAATTTACTTATATATATATATAAAGTGTGAAGGAAGGATCCATTTTTTTTGTTGTTGTTTTACACAAGAGACGAAGGGAACGGAAATATATAATTTGTTTTTTCATGAAATTCGCGTAACGCTGGTGTCAGTTTGTTACATTGTATAAAAACGTAAAAAGATCGATGCCTATTTTAAGTAAGTGCATTTCAGGTACCGACAATAATTAGTCTGTTATTTGTTTTCTTTTTTTTTTTTTTTTACTGAAATGTTTACAATTTTCAGCAGCTTTTTTCCCCCCTACTTGATTATTAATAGCTGCTATAATATTTTTTTTTATACATGATTTTAGTGAAAAAAATCATGTCAAAAAATTTGTCTCGATTATGTAATTAACTAATAAAACGGGGACATTTTTCAATGTTCTTTTTTTTGTCTCTCCCTAAATATACAAGACATTATTAGTTTTTCGCGATTATAATCCTACAAAATGTACATAATTTAATAAAATGTAGATACAATTAGATATACATACAAACTGAGAACTTGTTAAGAACTCAATATCAATTTTTTTTTCATTTTTTTTTTTTTTTTTTTTAATGATTAGCGATGGAATTCACTGTGAATCATACAAGTGTTGATCGACACTTAGTTCCACGATCTGTCTATAGCAATAAAAACTATCGAATTTAGACAGTTTTAAAAAAAGCATTTTAGTTGATTGCTGTACTCACTGATACTTGCCGAAAGTTTTTTTTTTTTTACTCGCTACATGAAAAAACAGTAGTTGCGGCGATCGAACGTTAATTATTCAGTTTTTCACGCAGCGAATCAATGAAATTTGTCACCTTCTTTGGACTCTAAGGCCAATCTTAAATAAAATTTTCTTTTTCTTTATGCCTCACTTTCGGTCGGTCCCTCCTCTTCCATTATTGGAACTATTAAATTGTCTTTCGACATTAGATTGTATTTCGTTACAAAAGCCGTAAATCTGAAATTAAAGAAATAAATTATGAATAGAAAATTTAATTACTTTGATTTAATGAATTTAAATTCAAAATATCTATTAATTTCATTAGTATTGGTTTTCAACAATTTACTCGTGTAGGATTTAAACCGTCCTAAAATAAAAATTATTTTTAACTTTTCAATAGATACCTTCGACAAAGAAAGGTTTCATTTTCAAATTCATCGAATATTGTTCGATGATGAAAATAAGCGTGTGAAAAAATTCTGTACACTCTACGGCAAACTGATCCAAGTTTAGCGACTGAAGATTCCTTAATGCTTACTCTGCAATGGAAAAAGAATAATATTGAGTAAAAAATAAATTTTATTTCTATATATGCGCGTCACAGACTCTCTAACAGAGAGTTTATTATGTTTATTTATAAAAAAAAATTTAACTAAAATTCTTTTCAAAATTTTATCATTTTCAAAAAATTCAATAAACTTGTTCAATAATTTAAATATTTAAGCAATATTACCAAATTAAAATTATTGCTTTTAATACATTAATTTTAATTCCCACAAAATTTATTTATTTGTGAAAAAAGTTCTATTATAAATTTTTTAAAAATTTTATCATATTATAAACTTTGATTGCAATTCTTCGAGATATCAATTATTTACAAATATTAAAATTAAATTTTTACAAAAAATTTTTACCTTTTTTTTTATATTTTCAAATATTTTCGAAATTTTCAATTAAAAATCTTTTAAAATTTAATCATTAACAAAAAATTTAACTGCAAAACTTTGAAAATTTAATTATTTAAAATTTTTAGCAAAAATTCTTTGAAATTTCAATTATTTGCAAAAATTTTTAATTTAAAATTCTCCAAAACTCAATTATTGTTAAAAATTTGTAAAAAAAAATCTTCATCAATTCAAATTGACAAAAAATTCCAATTTCAAATCTTTTGAAATTCAATTAATTCTAAAAATCTTAATAGGAACTATTCGAAAATGTAAGCATGTATAATTTTCTATCTAAAATTCTTTCCAAATCAATAATTTTTAATAATTTGAAGTTTTTCGAAAATTTAATTATCTAAAAATAAATTTAATAAAATTTAATTATTTACAAATATCGAAATTAAATTTTTACAAAAAATTTGTACCCATCAAGTTTTTCATACTTATAAATATTTTTCAAATTTTCAATTAAAAATATAATAATATAGACAGTTCGGTATAAATTTTGATTCATTTTCACATAATTATGATGATTTGTAATTTCATTTCAGGGTATGTGGGTTAAGAACGTTTTTTGTGGTTTTAAACTTTCTCTAAGATAAAAAATGATTTCGGGTTAAAGTTTTGGAGCAATGATTTTGTTTGGTACAAGGAATCTCGCTGTTTTACTCATTTACTATAAAATAACGCAAAAATAATAAAAATAAAGCAATAAATAGTAAAATAATGTGTTTTATCATAGTTCATTTAGTGGCTACTTGCTCGAATTGGCGCTGTTTCCTGGAGCACCGACACACTCAAGCAACGCAGTATATTCACCGCCATGTTTGTTTTCATTTTCGTTTCAAAATTAAACTTTTTAAACTTCATTTTTTAATAATTTAACGCAAAATTATGTATTTTTCGGAGAACAGCGAGACTCCTTGTACCCACATCTATTATCCCTCAAAATTTTAGACAAAAATCTTTTTTCATTTTAGAGTAAGATGTATACTACTAAAACACATTTTCCCATACTAGGTCACGAGGGAGTTACCCACAAACCCTTAAAGATTCTTAAAATTGAATCTAGTTTTAAATAATATATAATGATTTACTTTTTTTGTTTAAAGTTCTCAATGGTCTCATGAATTGTCCTGGCGATACTTTCTTCGATAAAGTTTTGTGTTCTTTTAAGACTTACTAGGAATTACTCTATATTTTATGTTAATTTTTATTGAACAAATTATGAAAAAAAACTCTATTATCAATCAAATCGACGCCTCCTATTCATATAATGCTTATTGAAATAACAAAGCAAGATCGTTCTTATTGAACTTTTTGTGCAGTATATGATTCTTACAGAAATTTCAGTGCAGGATAATTCTTATTCAAAACCGCGTGCGAAACAATATCTACTGAAGCCAGCGGTCAATAAAATTTTCATTCTAATGTTTATACAAAACGTGTATAATTCTCTAGTTCTAATGAAAAACACATAAAAGGTTAATTCGGAATCTTTTCTGATTAATTTCTTAGATCATAGTATATTTTTAACATGTATTTTTATGCATTTCAGTTAAATGGGTATGTTTTTTTAATATAAATGTATTTTAAATGAAACTGTTTAAAAATTTTATTTTATAAATCGTTTTTACTTTTATAACGTAGTATAATTACTTTGATTAGAAATTTTTAAATTATTTTCACAAATTAATATTTCACATAATTTCTGTTATTAAAAGTGTAGTTTTGTGTTATTTTTAATTCTATATGTACAAACTTGATGAGGTGATCTTTTCTTGAAAAGATTATAAATTTAATTAAAATCCAGTACGTAATAAATAAATAATTGATATCTAATTTTCAATTAATTTTATCATTTTTATATAATTAACAACAAAACTTTTTATTAACACAAAATTTTGAATAGAAATTGTTCTGTACTAACATTTAAATAAAAATTATATTGACCGCTAGCTGCAGTAGGTATACTGTTCTGCAGGCGATTTTGAATAAGAATTATCCTGCACTGAAATCTCTGTAAGAATTATACTGCAGAAAAAATTCAATAAGAACGATCTTGCTTTGTTATTTCAATAAGCATTATATGAATAGGAGGCGTCGAAATATGTAGAAAGAGGAATCAGTACAGTGACTTATGTTCTAAAAATCATTAGTTAGAATTTTCATTTTCATGGAATTTCATTTGTCATAATTATTTTTGAGCCAAATTTTTATTTGTTCGAATTAGTATTTTGCAGAATTTTCATCAAAACGATTTTTTATTTGTTCAAATTTTTATATATCAGAATTTTTATTTACTCGAATTTTCATTTAACATAATAGGCATTTTAAAGAATTTTTATTGGGTAAAATTTCATTGCATAGAATTTTTTTTCAGATGAATTTTCATTTGTTCGAATTATTATTTGATATAATTTCCAGGTGTTCCAACCGATTTTTCATACTACAGAATTTTTACTTAACCAAAAAATCATTTAACAGAATTTCTAATTGATAGAATTTTCATTTGTCCGAAATTGCAAATAGCCGAAACAACAATCGATTTTGGCGCGATTTTTAAAATCAACCAATTAAAATTTTATGGATAATTTTTGATTTTAAAAATCTCGACGAATTTTAAATCATGTAAAGATTGAAATGGCAATTTTTTCAAACCTGCTGGGAAAATATTTATTGCTGTTTAATAAACACGCTGCACCGTCCAATGTATGTCGTGTATAGTCAATTGCCGGACATTCTTTAGGTGTTTTATGGGCTGCACATAAAAATATCCATTGTTCGGTAGCCGTCATTTGTGTACAAGCATTTGGATTACAATCTTCCTGTAATCTAACTGCCAATCCATTTAATTCCATACAAAATTGTCTGAGATGTTCATATTTCCAAACACCCTCATCCTGTGCTTCCGGCATATTAAGTATTAAATCGATACTTGAAGGATCTTTTCTTATCATTTGTTGAATATATTGTTGAACAGCAAGTGTGCTGTCCATTTCTTCGAATGGCTCGTCGGGCCATCTACAAAAGTCCTGTAATTAAAATCATTTTTGTTTATTTTCCTATAAGACCAATGTAATATTTAAGATTCTAAGGGACCTTAGAAGCAAATTAATTATAGGTTATGTTTACGATAGTTTTACTTGAAATAAAAGTTTATTTTTGTTTTTGTAAAACTGAAATCAATTTTTATTAAACATTTTGGATGGAATGAAGACCTAAATATCATTATAGTTTGCATTACAAGTTGAATGTCTTTGTGTATTTTCACTTTAAAATTTCAAAACGTAACCTATAATTTTTTTGCTTCTAAGATCTTTTTCTTTAGATCGCGTCACAATCTTTAACGAAGTAAAAAACTAGATGTTTTTTGTATTTTTATAAGTTTCGACCGTTATTTGGATTTTTTTCAGTAAATTTATTATTTTCTGTGAAATATATTTTTAAAAAAATTGTTTTCGAAATATGTAAAATATATAAAAGATCATTTCTTTTTAAAAATATTATTTAAAAATTAAATTTTATTTGGGTCGCTGAATAAAATCAAGATTTCCATTGAATTTTATATTGATTTAACAAAAAAATAATTATAATTAATAAAATATATAAATGAAGAGAAATTAATAAATCACCACCAATAAAGAGTAAGTAAACAGAAATAGAAATTGATTTTCAATAAATCTATTTACGCGCGGCTAGTCGGGATTTCAAGGAGAAATTTTTTTTTAATACTCTAAAACACAATTATAACGATAGTTTATTTTTTTCTCATAGTTATTTACATTTCGTTTCATTTAAGTACCAATTTTTTTTTTACTATTTATATTATTAAATTAAAAATAAAAAAAAAACAAATGTTTTCGATACTGAAGTAATAATTCTGATTTGATATATAAGAAAGCCGCTTAATTCCAAACTGTCAAAATAATTTTGTTGTGATTCACAAATGTCAGTTAAATAAGTTTCATTAAAAAAATTGACATTATCGCCCATAGTAAAAATCAAGGAATTATCTAAAATTAATGTAATTTTTATCGAATAATGATATTGAATTAATTATTTTGTAATAAAAAATATGTTGTTGAGATGAGACACTTTTACAAAGGCGTTCATTGATTTTCATGGGATCTGTGTGTGGTGACAGGGTGCATGATTTATACTAATGAAATTGAAAAGAATTGATCAGTGTTAGTGTAATTTTTATTATTGTCATTGATTATTTAATATTTAAAAAAGTAATAGGGAAATTTTAAGTTAAAGTAGATTTACTTTTTACTTACCTTTGCCTTCGTTCCGGGCCTATTCCTTCTTGAAATTGTGGATCCTTCCGCCATCTTCATTTTGCCAGTTGTTGCACTTGACCGAGGAGTATAATTTGTAGCATAGAGTGGAAAAATTCTAATAAGAGACTAGGAGATAAATGATAATTTTAGAAATATCCTCTAGAGGCGCTATATGTGGTGCGGCGATTTCTACTTTATTGACATTGTATTAACACATTACGATAATGTAGATAACTTTTTTATGTTGATGGTAACAGAGTATGCAACCGGACATACACGCTTGTATGAGAGTGAAATTGAGTATACTTTATTATCTGACGTGAATTTTGTGCAAACTTATATTTCAATTTCAATAAAATGAATTATGAATTAGATAGTATTACTGAAGCAATTAAAAACTAATCTTTTAATCCTTTTTTTTACTTAAGATTCAGCGGAAAATAGAGATTACAAATCTTTTTTTTTGTTTTAAATTTACTCAAAATAGAAAACAGAGATTTGTAATCTCTATTTTTTATTTTATTTTGTTTTTAATCTCTATACTGGGGGTCAATTACGTAACTTTTTCTGGATCCCACATTCCGTATTCCACATTTCATATTCCATATTTCGTATTCCACATTCTGTATTCCACATACTGGCTCCTACATTCCGGATTCCACTTTCAAAATTCCGCATTTCAGATTCCACATTCCAGATCTCATTTTCAAAATTCTGTATTCGGGATTCCATATTCTGAATTCCGGATTCCACTTTTCACATTTCGGATTCCACATTCTGTATTCCGGATTACACTTTTCACATTTACTCTCTAAATCTGAATTAATAAAAATGTTTACTAATTTAAATTAGTGACTCACTTTTTGCTTTATAATTAGTTAAATTTTACTAATTGTTAGTTAAAGTTACTAATATTTAGTAAAATTTTACTGATTGAGAAGCAAAAAGTGAGTCACTATTTCAAATTAATAAACTTTTTTACTAATTCAGATTTAGAGAGTAGGATTGCACAATTCGTATTCCAATTTTAAAATTCCGTATTCCGGATTGCACTTTTCACATTCCGTATTTTGAATTCAACATTCCGGATCCCACTTTAGAAATTTCGTATTTCAGATTCCATATTCCAAAGTCCACTTTAAAAATTCCGGATTCCACAATTCACATTCCAGATCCTACATTCCGGATTCCACTTTTCATATTACGGTTTCCACATTTTGAATTCCATATTCCGGATTACACTTTCCACATTTCGGATTCTACTTTTTACATTCCGTATTCCGTATTCCACATCCCACATTCTGAAAGTGGAATCCGGAATGTGGAAAATGGAATCCGCAATGTGGGATCCGGAATGTGGAATAAGGAATGTAGAGTATAGTATCCAGAATAAGGAATGTAGAGTATAGTATCCAGAATACGGAATTTTTATAGTGGAATCCGGAATGTGGAATACGGAATGTGAAAAGTGGAATCCGGAAAAAGTTATGCAATTGACCCCCTGCTAAGGTAGAATTTAAATATTAATTATTCTTCGCTTGTCTTCCTCCATAATTACACTTTGTAGTTTCCGGGTATTCATACAACAGTTTGTCGCTTTCGTTAGTATTTTGAAGTAATTCTTATTATGTATTAAACTTTGTGAAAAACGGTTTATGAAATGCACTGGGTAACGAAAAAATGGTCATGTTTTTTTTATTACAAAATTCCTGTGTTTATTAAATATTTGGGTGTCAATGAACATGAAAATACGAAATTTTTTTTTTTTTAATTTGTTCAGTTCCCTGAAAATGCGGGTTAACGGCATGTGGGAAACTCCCACGTGACCTAGTATGGGAAAATATGTTTTGCGAAAACCAAACTTTCTCTAAAATGAAAAAAGATTTTGGGCCAAAATTTTTAGGATTGATAGATTTGGGTATAATGCACATCGCTGTTCTCCTGAAAAAACATATTTTTGCGTTAGATTATTAAAAAATGAAATTTAAAAAGTTTAATTTTTAAACAAAAATGACAACAAAGGTGGCGGCGCATCCCTACTGAAAATTCTCATGTATGATCTTATATAGGATCCTACATAAAATCCTATATAGGATCCTACATAGGATCTCATGTAAGAATTAATCATATAGGAATTTATGTGGGATATCATGTGTGGATTTCACTGTTTTATTTGTCCATCTGATATACCAAGTTGGAAATTATATGAGAAATTATATGGGAAATAATATACGAAATTATATGGGAAATTCCAATATAGATATAGATCATCATAGTTCCACTCTTACGCCGCCAGGTGGTGTTAATTTTTTTTCTCACAGTTGAGATCAGTCTTAAATACTATAAAAGCTGAGACTCTAACTCAGAAGGTGTATTGCAAAGCACAATTTTTTTTCTTTTCAGATGAATCGCAGTAATATTATTTGATTTTTAATTAAATAATTTTTAATTTTTATAAATTGCCGTCTGCCAACTGAAAATTTCTATATGAAATCCTATATTGTTTCCTTTATATAATTCTATGTGAAATCTTAGATATAGATATTTCAGAATCTACATGAAATCCTATATGATTTCTTATGTTCAAATCAATCATATTGTATGATCCCACGTGAGGATTTTTAATATGATTTCATGGCAGATTTTTTGTAATAATTTTTTATTCAAGAATCGAAAAAAGATTTGATGTATGATTTGATATAGGAAAATTTCTGGTTAAGGATTGAGCAATGATTTATAGTATGTTTTTTAATGAGAAAACACGAAGGAAATTGACATAAAAAATTGAAGGAAAAAATGGGACCAGAAAAATTATAGGATTTCACATTAAGAATACGTTTATAAGAATTTACATCGAATCCCACTTCAAATCATGTCTCAATTTCCTATATGATTTTTCATAAGATCCTATATAGTTTCTTACATCTCACATAGGATTTTATGTGGATTTTAATATATGAATTTATGTGAGATCCTATATAAGATCCTACATGAGAATTTTCAGTAGGGATACACAGACGTTGCTTGAGTGTGTCAGTGCTCCAGTAAACAGCGCCAATTCGAGCAAGTGGCCGCTGAATCAACTATGATATAATTTACTATTTATTGCTTTATTTTTATTATTTTTGGGTCAAATTATGGTAAATGAGTAGAACAGCCATATGCCTTGCACCCTCCTAAATAATTTCTTGAAAATTTTAACCCGAAATCATTTTTTATTTCAGAGAAAGTTTTAAACCACAAAAAAACGTCCTTTGCCCACATGGCTTTAAAGTGTCAAAAAATGGCTTTTTTGATGTACTATAAAAGGGAAAACGTGAGGGCATAGAAAGCTTTAATAGTGCTCAAAAGAAAGCTTTAACCTTCAACTTTAAGACCCAAAACTGAAATGTCATGCAATAATTACGGAAAACCTGTATTTAACGCATAACCCCTAACATATAATTGAATTTCTAGTTCAAATCTTTGGGAATGTATGTATGCGATTTTCCATAATAGCATTTATTTGAAACTAGTCACTTAGAGGATTTTTGGGTTGCTGATGGTTGCACATTACGGCAGTACGGCAGACGATTTTTTTTTTAAATCGTTAAAATATGCTTGAGCCTTATTACTCGTGGAATTTTGAGGTCACTGATTACGAATTTTAATGATAGAACGTCCAACGTCCTTCCTGCAGGATGAAAAAGACTCAGGTGAGTCCCTCCGAAATCGCTTTCTAAAATTAACTTGGATTGAGATAAACACAAAAAAATATATATGGTTGGAAAGGTAAAGATACAAGCTTTCAGCGCATGTAAAAATTAAATTTCTAAATTCAAACCCCAAGGCTAGGCAACTTAAAGAAGTTAAATTTTTGTAAAACTGACCTAATGTTTAGTGCTAGATCGTCGACGCCCGGTCCTGCCGGCAGGACTCTTCTCAGTTTATTGATACGATTACCCAGCCCTGATATTTAAATTTAGAAACTTGATATTCACATGATCTGATAGCTTTTTTAATTACCTTTCGAACCATATATATTTTTTTATGTTTATCTGAATCCATATTAATTTTATAATGTTTTTTCGGAAAGACTCTCATCTGAGTCTTTTTCATCCGTCCGCAATTGCGCTGGATACAAATCTTTATACATAGTGTTATAATAATAATACAAACAAAATTCAAGATTAAAAAAAATATATAATGCAGAAAATTTATTTGGTAATTTATGGAAATTTATGAGGTAATTTATGGAAATTTATTTGGCAATTTATGGAAATTTATGAGGTAATTTATGAAATTTTGAGGTAATTTATAATTATAATACAAACAACAATTCAAGATTCAAAAACTATTGCAGAAAATTTACGTGGTAATTTTTGGAAATTTATGCGGTAATTTATGAAATTTTTGAGGTAATTTATAATTGTAATACAAACAAAATTTAAGATTTAAAAATTATTGCAGGAAATTTATGCGGTAATTTATGAAATTTATACGGTAATTTATGAAATTTATGCGGGAATTTATAATATCTAAAAGAAAAATTTGAAAACTAATTTTGGAAATTTATAGGGTAATTTATGGTAATTTATGAAATTTTTAAGGTAATTTATAATGTATAAAATTTTATGTGGTAATTTAAGAAAATTTAATGGAAATATATGTTTTAAATAAAGTGCGTCCTGCCGGCAGGATGACGGAACATCCTGCCGGCAGGATGGCGCAATGTGCGGAGAAGCATCCTGCCGGCAGTACGCAGCGGCTTGTCCAAGCGTCCTGCCGGAAGACCCTTCCAGCAGGATGGGCGCTTGGACGTTCTATCATTAAGTCAGATTTTCAAAATTCAAAATTGCGGATCTGTAACCAATTCCTTTCTTTCCGTGTAACTATTAAATATAGGTTCAAAATAGTTTTAATTTAGTTTAAAATTGTAGGTTCAATGCTGTGGTCAAGGATTAAATCAATAAACATGTGTATAGCATATAAAATATAAACTTTTCTCATTACTTATTTTAGCAAGTAATATGCTGACTGACAATGCATATATTATTAGTTATATATATCAAATGACGTGAATGTAATATTACATTTATATAGTTTCTATATATAACTATATATAGTTGTAACTATAAAGTTGAAGCTTTATTG